GAGTGGGAGGGGAGGGGGCAGGTGGACCGTCGGGCAGCGATAATTTATTTCACTTTACGCACGCGTGTCAATACAATCCCAATAAGTGGATTAGGACCGTCCGGCATATCGCTCAGCCCGGCCCGAGTGGAGGAGGTTCAATAAGGCACAAGGAGGGGGCGGCGCGGCGAGGCACAGCCCGGCACAGCCCGGCCGCAGTGGGAAGCAAATAAATATCCATTTCCATTCATCCCACTTATGCAACGCTATCTAAACGGCGGCTCGCGCGGCCCGGGGTAAAGACTTCGACGGTTCAGAACCAATCCCCGGCCGCCGGGATTTACAACGAAATGATGAGGTTGGGTCTCTTCTCGGCCTCCTCCTAATCCTATCGCGTGCGCGTCGTCCCAACAATGTATGGCGTTTGGGTGGGTGGTGGGGGCGGGCGGCGTACTCCGGGTCCGCTGCTTGGGCCCATATGGAGGGTGGGCTGGGGTCCTCCTTTGGTGGTCATGGTCCCCCTCCTGGTGGCCCAGGTGGGTCATATGGTGCGCGGGTTCTCCCGGGTGGCGCAGGTCGGTCATGATGCGCGGGTCCTCCGTCTGGTGGCGCAGGTGGGTCCTTCTGATGCGACTCCTGGCAATCCCCTATAATGGTGGTCTTGGCGGTGGCGTTGCGACCCTGGTGGAACGTTCCTGCCCGGTCCTGTGACGGCCCGCCCGAGGCCATCCCCCCGACCCGGGCCCCTGGTGGTGGCCGCTAAGTGCAGCGCTTGTCATTGGTCCGCTTGCGTTGGCCTAATGCCCCGCCGGGCCCGGGCCCGGCCGTCGTCTGCTGCCCGGCCGCGTGCGGCAGCGTGCGTCGTGGAATCGTAATCTATACCGCCAGCCGAGCGTGTAATTTTCCATCGTTTGAGGAAAGGCCTATCTTTAGGCGGTCCCGCATTCTTCACTCTCTGGTGAGAGTGTAATAAAATGTTATTGCTAATACACTTCTCAATCAAAGAGGCGGTGGCGGCGGCGGCCCCGGGTCAGACGGGAGAGACCCTGCTGCTGCTGCTGCTGCTGCTGCTGCTGCTGCTGCTGCTGCTGCTGCTGCTGCTGCTTACCCCGTTAAAAATGTTGGTACCGATCGGCGCTGCCAATTGATCGCTTTATTGGGTAGGAGAAGTCGTCGTCGTCGTCGTCCGTCGGCTCGTCTTTACCGCTGGACGCGCTTGCTTCTGGACGCCAGCAATGCCTTCCCGGAACGGGCCGGCGTCGCTCCCCTTTGGCGGCGGCGCGCATGCGCACTGCACCGGTCCAGCGGAGGCCGAGCGCCGAGCGCCGCGCCGCGCCGCGCAGCCAAAGAGGGTGGGTTCGGCTCACCTGTCGCGTCCAGTTTGGAGCCGCCGCTGCAGCAGCTCGGCAGCAGCCCCGCGAGTCAGAGATGGCGCAAGGAGACTGGATGCTGGCTGCGCGGTTTGGTGAGGTGGGCCGTTTTTCTCTCTCTTGTTGTTTTTTCGTGAGGACAGCTGCTGCAGCGCAGCATCGACTTTGCACAATCGCGCCCGTTTGTCCCGTTCCGTAGAAGAGCCCGACGCAGAGCCCGCTGCTCCGTCTGGCTCCAGAGGGGGGACGACGCCACTCTCGGGGCGGCCCTGGCTGGAGAGCTCACATTCTCATCCATTCAATTCTAGCAGCCTCCAGCCGCGGATAAGCCCCCCCACGCACGGGGGCTGAGCCGCGCCGCGGACCCTGGTAGTAGTCATCCCGGGTGGCTTAACTCTCGGCAACTACCTCGCATCCATCCTTCGACGGTTAACCCCTAGATAGCTTTTGCTCGCCGTTCCCTTT